TAGCTATTTGCACAGGAAATTTATGGAAGATACAATCCCTATACTACTCAAACACTTGAATGAAATTGAAAAGGAAGAAATATTCCCAAAATCATTCTTGGAGGCAAGTATTATACTGATAACAAAACCAGGGAAAGATGTAACTAAAAAAGAGAACTACAGGCCAATCTTCCTCATCAACGTAGATTCCAAAATCCTCAATAAAATCCTAGCAAATAGAATACAGCAAATCATCAAGAAGATCATACACCATGACCAGGTAGGATTCATCCCAGGGATGCAAGATGGTTCTATATTTGGAAATCCATAAATGTAATACACTATATCAATACAGCAATAACTGAAAACCACATGATCATCTCAATTGATGCAGAAAAGGATTTTGACAAAGTCCAACACTCATTTATGTTCAAAGTTCTACACAGAATTGGAACAGATGAGCTCTACTTCAATCTGATAAAAGCCATTTATGACAACACAATGGCTAACAGAATTCTAAATGAGGAAATCTGAAATCTTTTATTCTCAGATCGGGTACAAGACAAGGATGTCATCTATCACCACTCTTATTCAATATAGTTCTAGAATTACTAGTTACAGCCATTAGAAAAGAGAGCAGAATAAAAGTTATAAGAATAGGTAGAGAAGCTAAATTATCATTATTTCCAGATGACATGATACTTTACATGGAACACCCAAAAAATTCCACCAACAAGCTACTAGAATTAATACACAAATTCAGTAGCAGAGCAGGTACAAAGTCAGTTTCCAAAAGTCAACAGCATTCCTCTACACAGATAAAAAACATATTGAGAGGGAAATTATAGAACCAATACCTGTTACAATAGTACTGAGTAAAAGAAATACCTTGGAATTGATCTAACAAAAGAAGTTAATGATCTTAGCAAGGAAAACTATAGTACTCTGAATAAAGAGCTCACAGAGGATTTTAGAAAATGGAAAGTTATTCTATGCTCCTAGATAGGAAGAACCAACATTGTGAAGATGGCCATAATTCCAAAATTGCTGCACTGATTTAATGTAATCCCTATCAAACTTCCACCAACATACCTCTCAGACCTACAGAAATCATTCCTAAAATTTATTTGGAACCAGAAAAGACCCAGAATAGCAAAGGTAATCCTGGGAAACAAAGACAAGGCAGGAGACATTACAATTCCTGACCTGAAATTATACTAAAAGGCTACTATGATAGAATCAGCATGGTACTGGCGACAAAATAGAACTGAGGATCAATGGAATAGATTAGAAGATGAAAAAGCCTCTAAGAATACAATCAGCCACCTTATCGTTGAAATAGAGGCCAAACATCATCACTGGAAGAAAGATAGCCTCTTTAAAAAATGATGCTGGAAAAACTAGCTCTCTACATGTCAAAAACTAAAATTTGACCCAGGTCTATCACCATGCAGTAAGCTAAAGTCAAAATGAACTAAACATCTAAACATTAAAAGAGAAGTACTAAATATCCTGGAAGAGAAAGTAGGACAGGGATAGGAAAAGAGTTCATGAAAAAAAAATCAAATCGTAGTTAAAAGAATTAACAACTGGGAACTCATCTTATTAAGAAATTTTTGCACGTCCAAAGAAATTACCAACAAAGTGAAAAGACAAACCACAAATTTGCAAACAATTTTGACAAATAAGCACTCTGACAAAGTTGTACTCTCTAGAATTTATAACAAACTAAAAAATATAAGAGCCCCAAAATTTAAAGACCCAATCCAGAAATAGGCATCCAAGATGAATACACACTTCTCAGAGGACAAAATTAAAGAAGGGAATAAATATATGAAAAAATGCTCCACATCATTAGCCATCCATGAAATGCAAATTAAAACAACACTGAGATATCATCTGACCCCAGAAAGAATGGCTATCATAAATAAGTCAACTAACAACAATGTAGGAGAGGCTGTGGGGAAAAAGGAGCCCTTTTACACTGCTGCTGGGAATGTAGACTGGAGCAATCATTATGGAAATCAGTGTGCAGATGCCTCAAAAAAACAGGACTGAAAATCTCATTCAAACCAGCTCTTCCCCTACTGGGAATTTTCCTGGAGAAACTGAAAACATCATATCATAGTGATATATGTGTACCTATGTTTGTGGCAGCACAATTTGTGATAGCCAAATCTTGGAAACAACCAAGATGCCCATCACCTGAAGAATGGAGTAAAAGATATGGTATTTTTATACAATGAAGTATTACTCAGCTATAAAGAATGATAAACTCCAAGCCTTCATATTTAAGTGGATGCCACTTGAAGATATACTCATAAGTAAAATAAACCAGGCTCACATGTGTAAATACCATGCAGGCTCCCTAGTATAAGAACTCAAAAAAAAAAGAATTACAAATAGAAAGGTATAACACAATTAAAAGGGAAGTGAAAACTTGAGGATTAGACAATGAAGAGAGACCAATGAAAAAAGTTATGAAACATGACAGGGGCAAAGTCATATATTTACATGTACAAGATGGGCACGGGAATGGTCGTGAGAATCTTCAGAAGGTTTTCCAAACTAGCAATTAATTCATAGAATTCTCATCCTAACTATATATGCTCATACCTGTGAACTAAGCAACTGCACTGAAGATAGCAATGTATAATATTAGGGCCATGCGTGGAGTGCCTGTCATTTTGGTCTTCTGAATACGTGCTGCTTGTCATGACACACTGGCTGCTGTTGTGCTGTCTCTCGGGTAGATATTTTTTGAAAAAGGAAGGGGGTGATGAATGAAGGCAGGAGACAGGAAAAGGGGTGTTTGGGGACTATCCTGCTACAATACTGTATATAGTTAGATTTCTAAACTTCTGTGTAAAAATATGTAATTGTTTATTCCTATTTTTTTAAATATATGTTATTTTTAAAATTTTTTTCTTCATATTCTGTAGGAAACTAAAGTTTAATATATCAATACTTGATGAAAAATACCTGTTCCATGTTATGCTCAAGATGTCTCATATTCAGAAAAATAATGAGGTTAAGTTCAATAGCCTATGTTGTAGGGTAATAACAATAAGCTTCTCTTCTGGAGGGTTAACAACCTAAATTTGCAGACCAAAATTAGAGAAAAAGGAGGGCCACAAGGAAAGCCAACATTCTGACCCTAGCCTTCCAAGGTCAATTAAGACTCAAGACATATGAGAACTTGTACTGTAACATCACGTAATTCAGTAATGTCCCAAATTTTCTGATCAAGGAGATTATGGGGCCACACAGGAAAATGACTGATGATGTAGAGTTTGCCTAAGGAGAGTCACTTGGAGAGAAGACATTCTCTCAGGCTTTCATAGAGAGCAAATTGGTCAAGCAATGGCCGAGACTCATCCACATGGCTGACACTGACAAAGGATGTACAAACTGCAGTACAGTGTTTCAGGATAAATCTTGAGGGGATTTGACTGGCCAGCCTCATCAGATACAAAAGCTACATTTCTTTTTCTTTTTTTTTCTTTTTTTTTTTTTTTGTGGAACCAGGGATTGAACTCGGGCTCTTGTGCTTGCCAGGGAATCGCTTATTCCACCGAGCCATCTCGCTGGCCCCTGCATTTCTTGTTAAATAGGTTTTGCTTTATCTTGGTCTTAAGCATCCAGCAGAAAAGTATAAAAACATTATATAAAAGGGAAAGCCATATTAATATGCTGAGCTATAAAAGGCTCAAGTCAACAACTTCTGCCATTGCCAGTTTTATGGGAAACACACTACTATTATGGACTATTGGACTATATCAGGATATTTTGCTGAATTCACACACCTATAAAATTTAAATGACAATAGAATACCCTTCTCTGACAAAACTATACAAAAAAGGGGATACATATGAATGATCATTTTGTATCCTTGTATTCAAAATAGTTAGGATAAATATACAGCTACATTCTCTTAATTCAGTGAATAGAAAGATTTTTTCTAATAGTGTTTGTAAACAGGATATCTTGTCTGCATCTTGCACAATAACCACTAAGAAAACTATATGCAATGTATTAATTATTGAAACTGTCCTACTAATAAGATTTGAAACTGTCTCATTGCTGCTTTTCAATAAAATTATTGAAAAAGAAAATGCAAGGTCCTGAGTTCAATTTCTCGTACAAAAAAATAAAGTCATATAACTGGAAAAATTGGATCTACTTTATCATCCTGTAAATTGTATCAAGTCTCTGTTTTTATTACTCTGTTATTTTAAAGTCACTTCTATCAAAACTGAAGCTATTCATTTCATTAACAACCTGAAAGCCTTAAACATGCTAGTGAAGAAGAATGTTTAATGAGAAGAGTTTGAATACTATATAAGCCTGTATTTGTCAATATCCTCCGAAAGTATTTTCTAGAGTAGTGCGCGTATGTCTTTGGTAAATGTAAGGCTAGAACAACGTCCACACCAGGCAAGCATGCAGGCATCATTTTCCTTTGCATTTGAATTTCATGCTGTCTTGGTAAATCAGCAATTACTGTCATTGTATGGAAGACAATTACAATTGTAATAGTTCTGAAGAATCAGGAATTATTATTCACCATCATTTTTCAAAGAAGAATGAGTAATAAAATACATTTAAATTTTTGTAGAAATATTTTCATCTATGTGACATTTATACTAGTTTATAATCTGAAATCAATTAAAATAAAATTTATGAATACAAAGAACCCTATCTTCTAAGTGTGTGATTTATCATAAGTGGTTATATAACTTTGTATTTTTCTCTCTATTAAAGTCATACTTTAAATATACCATGATTTATATTATTTACTATGAAGTAATATAAAATTTATATGAAAATGCATAATATATCCCTCAGTGAAAGAGACTCATACATTTTTAAAGAGCCTGGTAGAACTGGTGTAAAATATTACTCACAAAATAGTATGAAACATAGTTGGAGGGAAACAAAAAGAGTCAGAAGTTAGTATTATTTATAAATGGATTCAAAAAATGAGTATAGTTCAAGAAAGAAAAAATATTGATGCTCACCTGATCCAGCATTTTTGCCATCTCCTCCAATAAGTGGAACTGTAATGGATGCAGGACTCCCATCCACAGGCATATTGGTGTACACCAGGGGTAAAGACTGTACCACCACTGGTATGGCCTTCAGTCCACCTATTTTATTTGGCAGGCTGACTGAAGGGATAGTGTGTATCACATGTAAGATCTGCTGGCCACCAGTTCCCTGAGAGGTGGGCAAGACAGAGCTTGGAGCAAGAACAGTAGGAAACTTAGCTGGAATGTTCATGTCAGATGATGATGTGGAAACCACAGGGATCTGAAGAGAAGATTGTGGTTTGGGGGAACATATGGGAGCTTGAAGCATGCTAGCAGGCTGGAGAGGATCTTTAGGCTTGTGAAAGGAGAGGTCAACTGGTTCCACCTGGGGCAGGTTGAAATCATTATCTAGAAGTTCTTCTGGGGGCTCAATCTTGATGTCATTAAACAGTTCTGGGTTCTCCATAGAGCTATCATCCAGGAGTGGTGGAGATGCAATATTACTTCTGTCTGTTGGCTCCAGGGTGTCTCTGTTATGAACAGTGTCAATGACCTAAAATAAGTAAACATATGGCAAGGACAAACAGCAACTGTTAGTACCCTAGCAATATGTAAACTATAAAGGAATAAATAAATCACTATTTCTCAATAAAGGAATACATAGTATTGGAAAACTTACAAAGGAATACACTAAAGAAAAAGAAGGCAAATATTATTGGCACTGTTCCAGGAAACTGATAAAAAATCTTTTCAGTTATTTTTCACAATAACCTTTAGTATTAATTAAAGTGAACATTTTCTGAACATTCTCTGTAATCACGGTACCAAGCTTAGTGACAACATACATAAAATACAGTGAAGAATTATATGCTGACATATTAACAATAGAATAATTTAAGTAGTTTTCAAGTCATAGTATTGTAAGTGATGTTACATATAAAAAAGATTCATTAGAAAAACGAATGAATCATTCCATCCAGACAGGCATGATTTCAAGGAAGAAGTAGTATTTTAGACTAGTCTTGAAGAATTAATGAGATTTCTCCAGGCAGAGAAAAGGTAAAAAAGAAATTTCTACTTGTAGAGATATATAAAAACAAAAAACATGGTTAGAAAATACTGATGCAATATTTAGTTGAATCACTTGCAAAATTGAACTATGGAACTTCTAAATTATGAGAGATTTTAAAAACACACAACTAAATACTGAGCATATATCCAAAGAAAAAGAAATCAGTATGTCAAAGAACTATTTCCACTCCCACATTCCTTTCAGCAACTATGCATAATAGACAGGACATGCAAATAG